GATTGCGGCGATAGGTACCGCGTCCTCACCAACGCGCTGCAGGCGTCGCTCGGCTACCTCTCGGCTCATCTCGGCTACTCGTCTCATCTCGGCTACAGCTCGGCTACAGCCTAGCCCGGCTACAGCCCGGCTACAGCCCGGCTACCGAGGCCGCGCGTCATGTTCACGGTCGTGTGGAAGTACCTCGAGACCTCGAGATCGCCTGAGGGGCGGGCCTTGTGCCGCCCTCCTTGTTTGCCACCAGGCGTCCATGTTCACGGTCGTCTGGAAGTACCTCGAGGGGCGCATGGCCTAAGCGGGCGGGCGCGGCGGTGTGGCGCGCGCACGAAGGCGGAAGGCGGCGGCGGAAGGCGGCGGCCCGCTGGCGGCGGCCCGTTGGCGGCGGGTGGCTGGCGGCCGGCTCTTCACTCCCCTCCCCTCCCTCCTTCGCTGTACGCGACTACACGACGTTGGAGCGTGAGCTTGGATGGCATAGTTTGCCTCGCTCGCTTCTTATTTGACGGAGCTGCCGTGAGGGCCAAATCGCTTACGCTTTATTGTCGAGTGTCCATGTGTGCGCGAGAAGGCTGGTACATGTGCAATGTGGCTGGCCACTTGGCTGGCCGCGCTGCATGCACCCGCTGTGGTGGGTGTGGCCGCTAGAGCCTGACCGTAGACGAGAGGCTAGCGCGCGCTACTAAAGCGGACACAAACTCGCCGCCGAGCGGGGGGCGAGCGTGCCGCCGAGCGGGGCGCGAACACAGGCATCGGCTTGTGGAGCGCGGAGCGGGTGATGGAGTGTCGTGACGGATATCTGAGGCTGCGGAGGCGACGCCTAAGAGCGACTCACCGCCGGCGACCGCCACGGGCTCAGACGAGACTTGTCGACGCGTTCCGGCTCAGCTTCACCCCGTGGTCCTCGGGGTCGGGCGTCTGTCGTCGTCACAGGACCCGCACCGGCCATACCGGCTCGCGGGACGCGGGTTTGAGGTCGCAAGAGCCACAAGATGGTGGCGTTTGGACATCCTAACCATCACACAAGACAGCCTGTAGGTGATGGCGGGACGGAGCAGTTTGTGGCACTCGGCAGTAGGCACCCGCGGCCCGGCTCTCGCGGGCTGCGCCTGCGCCCTGCGGAACCGGCCCCAGAAGGGGACGGTCCGGGCGAGTGTGGCAGCTCCTGCGCTAGTATGGGCACCCTCTATCACAACACTACTGATCTTGGTCATTAGAGCTGCCAGAGATAGCGTCAGGAGCCCGTATAGGAGTCAAAACCCCTCATATTTGAGACATCATGAAGAGACATGTCCGGGGGCTAGAGCTGTCAAACGTTAAGAGCTGAACAGTGTTGCTAGTGTTAACAGTAACAACAGAACAACAGTTGGGCTCCCCAACAGCAGTAGCTAACGTTAGGCCAGCTGAACAACAATAAGGAAGGCCTACCAGCGACCCACGACGATCTCCCAGCGTCCAGTGCGGGTAATACCCGAAATACCTGGAAACCCCCGGGTATTTTCGGGGGTTTTATTTACCCGGTTTTTTATTTTTTGGGCATTTTCTGCTTGCTGGCCGCTGAACAACAGTAACAACAGTAACAAACAGTAACAGCTTGGGCTGAGGAGAACACTTGAACAACGTTGAGGATTTCAGCCAACACTAGCGCAACTGTTAGGCCCAAAGGTAACGTTTGACAGCTCTAACGATGTCCGCGATTGGCAATTCTCCTGGAGCTCTACAACCCTCTACAAGCGCTCCATGCATCTCACAGCACCACAGCGCTCTACACTCTACACCCAGGCTACACCCTCCCTCAGGCCTCAGCGCATGGCCTCCATGATAAACTCCCACTCATCCTCGCCGACCGCCATGCTGGCCGCGCCGTCCCAGTCGTCGCTCAGGATGTAGTACATGAGCCACTCCAGCCGCGCGCGCTCCTGCTCCTCGTCAGTTCGGGTGTCCACCTCGAGCCGTTCACGCAGCCCCTTCTTGACAGAAGCGACATCGAACTCTTCCTCACCACCACCGGTGTTCACCGTCCACTTGTTCGTTCGCGGGTTGACACTCTTGATGCTCCAGCGATCGCCGGGCAACTCCTCCTCGGCGGCCTCGCTCTCGCCCGGGCGTCCGCGATGGTGCGCTGGGCCCCCGGCCGGACCGGGCGCGGCGTCGTGCGGATACCGCTCCCGCAGCGCCGCGTTCGGGAGGTAGCCGCGCGCCAGGTCGAGGCCGTCAAAGTATTTCGCGAGCTCGGGGTGCGACAGCGGTTTGGCGGGCGACTCAACCTCGAGGCACGGTCTCGGGTCGTCCTCGCGGCACAGCGCCACCACGTAACGCTGCATGAAGGCTCCGGCAGGCGTCTCCTCCAGCACAGAGTAGTGGGGCGCGTAGAGCCGCCGCAGGCGGTCGCGTGCCGACCGCTGCCCCGGCAGGTTGGCGGTGAGCCACTTGCGCGGCGCTCGCGGCCGGTAGTCCCATCCAATCACCACTCCGCGCGAGCCCGTCAGCGAGTGCCTATATACGGCACCGACTCGCAGCCCCCACAGGGCCGCGCTCGGCGGCAACTCCCCACGCGGCGTCTCGCTCGCAGCAAACCACTCGCTTTGTGGCATCTCGGCAAAATCGCGCGACCAGACTTCCTCAAACGCGTCCGCGTCCCTCTTCTCTCGCTCGCTGACGCTCGGCTCCTCGACCTCGATCTCTGTGAATTTGCCGTCTTCTAGCTTGAACAAGCGCCGCCCGCTCCGCTCATCACTGTCTCTTTGCGCGCTCTCCTCGCTGCCACTTTCCAGCCCGACCAGCCGTGGCGTGGTTTTGCCGTTACCCTCCGCCACCCAATCAATTTGGATCGTGCCGAACTGGCCACACGCGATGAGACCGAGGAGAGTGCCTGCGGCCGTCAGCATGAAGAGGGGACGAGGCGGTTGGTCGACGCGGCTTCTGTTGTCGGTCTTGTCTCTCGGCTCGGCGCCCCTGGTATCCCTACCGGCAGCGATTGAAAATCCAAACTAAAAAGAAATTTACGAGCCGCATAAATAAACCAATCCGCAAAAGAAAGAATGCGGCGCCGCCACAGCGCCCGCCGCAGTACGAGGTACACATATATGCCACCCCGCTCAGCACGGCATCGGCTGGGCGAGTCACCGTCGCCACCCTCGCTCTTCATCTTCGTTCACATTGGTAAGACTGGAGGCGGCTCGGTGCGGCGCGGCTTCTGGGGTCTTCAGGAATGCTCCGCCCGGCGGTTGCCGCAATGGACAGGCTGCCTCAACGAGGGCGGGGTTACGGTGGGGAACTCAAACCGACATCGAATGGTCGCGACTCCCGAGCGGACATTCGAGCCACACATCGTCTGCCCTGCTCTCTCGCCGCTGGCGGTGCTGGGCGCATGCCGGCTTCGAGCAACAGCTGACGCGATGGAGAGCGCCCTCGTCAACGCCTCGCCGCCTCCGATCCCCATCGTGCACATGGGTCACTATAGGGTAGGCAGCGAGCTGAGCTGGCTTGGAGCGAAGACGCCCGGTCTGATTCAGCTCGCCGATGCCCACGCCACAGCGCTGGCGCCGCCCCGCCTTCCCACCGACTTCAGAGGGGTGGAGGCCGTCCTCCCTGTGCTCGCGAGCGGCTACGCCCTCTTTGATGAGAGGGCGTTGGCGGCGCAGCCTCTGCGTCTCAATGGGAGCGACGTCGGAGGCCCAGATGTCTTTGATAAGGTGCGCGAACGGCGGGGCTTCACGGCCCTCTCCCCACCCGAGCATTGGCCACAAAGAATGAGGCGCAGCGCCGCCTCGCCCGCTGTCAGCACGCTCCTCGCGCGGCAAAACTCGCGATGGAGCGGCGACCTGGAGAGAAACTGGGGCCCGCTGTACGAGGCCCTCGGGAGGCAGGCTGTCGCTCGGATCACCATGCTCCGCAGCCCGTGGACGCACCTCGCGAGCATCTTCTACTTTTTCGGCTACCACAGGCGGAACTACTCGTGCACCGACCCGCGCCAGGTCGACATGTGGGCAGGGAAGCCGCGGAGCGACGGCGCCTCCATCTCCGACGCGGTGACACTGCGGCTGTGCGGCGTGGACTGCGAGGCCCGCTTCCTCGCCGGCGCCTCGGTGCAGGCGCTCGAGGCTCAGGCGGCGTACAACCTTCGGTATAGCTTTGCTCTGGTCGGTGTCACCGAGCAGTTCGAGGGTTTCATCGAGGCGGTCCGGCGCCTGGCGCCCAACTTGAGAGGCTTCCTGGCCAACGGGACCGTGCATGCGCACGGCAGGCGAACGCAAGCGCGGAGCGAGGAAGACGCGTGCAAGAGCTATTGGTCCCAGGTCAACAACCAGAGAGAGGGCCTGCAGGAGAGCCAAGTGATTCGGCAGATGGTCCACCTCTACCGGATTGCGCTGGAGATCGTGCCAGCCTCGAATTGTTCCGCAGCTGGCGCGGTGTGCGGCGAGGGGAGATGAGCTTTGGTTAAGAAGAGAAGGGAGAACTGGTCGTAGGGAGCGATCCGCCTGCGGGGTCTTCCGCTGCTCGCGTCGCAGCGGAGGCTCACCGCTCACCGAGAGGGGCGCCGTCGACAGCCCCGCGTTGAAGAGCTCGCTGAGCACCAGCTTGGCGTGGTCGGCGGGCGGACGCGCTCCGCCGAGAGAGAATCGCCGCTGCTAGAGTCGACGGCCCCACAGGGCCCAGCTATAACGCCCCGCGGCGCCGCGGCGAGAGGGGTCGGTGAACGGAGAGGTGCCGTCGGCTGCACGTGCGGGCCAAAGGCCCGTGCAGTGGCCAGAAACGTGCGACAAGTGTGCGTCTCTGCGCGTGGGTGTGGGGGACACGCCGAAGTAGCTGGCTGGGGTGCGTGGGACGACGGCCGGCGCCTCTACGGCAGCCTGCACGCGCTGCTCGAGCCGAGCTTGGTGAGAAATGCCGTGATGTCTCCCACGCCATCCATTTGCTCTGTTTGTAGACCAGCGCAGCGCCGCTGAAAGAAAAACCCCGCACAACTCCAACTTGCGGGCGAGACCAACACTCCAACTCGCTGCCGGTCCCTTGCTCACATGGACGCGCCCACAGCCCTCGCGCGCCTCGGCTCCATCGACTTCACCGCCCTCGCGCGCGACGCCGGCGCATCAGCGGCGCTTCTCGAGGACTACAAGAAGTTTCTCGCGCTCAAGGCGGCCACCTCTGACTTTGACGCCGTGCTCCTATCTCCCTCACCACGCGTCGACGAGGTGTGGCACGCGCACATTCTCGACACCCGCGCCTACACGGCGGCCTGCGAGGCGATGCTCGGCGCCGGCGGGTTCATCCACCACGACCCGCACGGCGGTGACGATGCCGCCGCCCGTGACGCTCGCCTTCGCCGCACCGTCGCCCTCTTCCGCGCCGATTTCGGCGCGCCTCTCACGGGCTGGCCCTCCGGGCGCCGCCGCCAGGCCGACGCGCCGCCCGCGGTCGCGCCGCCGCCGCGGCGCGTGCGTGCGTCCGGCGTGCAGATCTTCATCAAGGATCTGACCGGCAAGACAATCACGCTCGAGGTCGAGCCGTCCGACTCGGTCGACAACGTCAAGGCGAAGATCCAGGACATGGAGGGCGTCCCACCCGACCAGCAGCGCCTGATCTTCGGCGGGGCGCAGCTCGAGGATGGCCGCACGCTCTCCGACTACAACATCCAGCGCGAGTCGATGCTGCACCTCATTCCGCGCCTCACCGGGTGCTAGGCGAGTCTGTGGAGCGAGGAGCGGTGGAGGTCGCGGCTAGTAGACCGGAGGGCTGCGAAGCCTTCACACTCCAAAGGGCTGGGCAGAGACGATCTGTTTCTCCCTTCTCTCTCTCACTCTCTTACAGTTCTCAGTTGCCATCGATGTGTAGAGTCTCCGCGCACTGGCGCTTTTCGTGCATCGTGGGGGGTTGGACGGTGCCGGTGGCACGCGGATAGGTTTAAACACACAAATAACAAAACAAAAACAAAAAGACGTCTCAGAGGCGCATGCAATACGTACACATGGTTTGCGGCGGCCGGCATCGGGTCTGCGCGCGCGGCCTTCGTCTCTGCCCCACTTACGTATCTCTCTCGCGGGCACGACCGTATACAGAGCACGCTCTATCAACAATCCGGGAGCTGTGCTTACTTCGCCGCCTCCAGGCACAGCTTTGCGCACTTGACCGACGACTGCGGGTTCTGGCCGGTCACGAGCTTGCCGTCCGCGATAGCATTCTCTGACCAGGGTTCCGACGGCACGTACTCGGCGCCCAATTCCTTCATCTTGGCCTCGAGCAGAAACGGCACCTTCTCGGTGAGTTGCACCTGGCCCTCCTGCGGCAGCGGGGCCGAGGAAGCCTCAGGGGTGCTGTGAGCCGCGGCGCTGGGGCCGCCGGCTCCCACCTCGACGTCCGAGAAAGCTGCAATCTTCTTGCCGGCGACCAGCGGCTTGTCGCCATCTTTGGCGTTGACGAGGCCCGTCGGCCCGTGGCACACGGCGCCAACCACCTTGCCAGCGGCGTAGGCGTCTGTCACCAGCTTGGGCACAGCGCCATCGGCAAAGTCCGCGCACGTGCCATGCCCGCCCGCGAGGAACAGGATGTCAAGTTCGCCGACCTCGACGGAGGAAAGCGGCACCGAGGTCTCGAGCTTGGAGATGTCGCCAGAGGACTCGAACCGCTTGTCATTCTCCGTTTTGAAGGCGTCAGAGAGGCTTCCGGCGTCAATCGGAACAGGCCCTCCAGAAACTGACGCGATGGTAACGTCGGCACCCGCGTCGACGAATGCATAGTAAGGACCGGTGATCTCTTCGCTCCAAGCGCCGGTGGGGTGGTCGCCCATCTTATCGGCTGACGTGGTGAGGATGATCACCTTCATGGTTGTAGGCGCGTGTGTTGTGGTTGTTGGCGCGGCGTCGCAAGACACTTCGCGGAAAACTATTTGCCAGCGTCAGGCGGCGCCGGTGGGTTCGGCTCCTTGCCGTCTAGGGGTCTGCTGAAGCGACGCCAGTGCCGACGCGCGCTCAGTTTAGGGCATGGCGCGCGGCCACGAGCGAGTAGCGCGCGCGCGGGAGAAGCGCGCGGCTAAACAGATCGCTGTGGGTCAGTGCTGTGGCCGGCGGCGACGTGAGTGCGCGCCTCGTCACGGCCCAGCACGGCCACCGCGGCGACGGTCATGCCGGCTCCGCCCACAAGCGGTTGAGCGACCGACCGGCAGACCTACAGGTCCAGTGTCGAAGTGTCCGAGTCCAAACGCAGCAGCAGTCGGGCGCTTGTCGCCCAAAAAGAAAGCGATCTGCCTGTAGGTTGTTGGTTGCTGCCCCAGGTCCCGCAAACTGGGTTTTTTCTTTTGAGCTTAGCCTTCGATGTTATGAAACGCGGAAATTGCATATTCTCGCGATTTTTTCTTTTTGCATGAAAATCGGCGGCCTCGCGTCCTGCTCGCGTCCCATGAGTTCTAGCTGCTTCTTCGACGGCAACCGCGTGGAGTACACAAGGCGGACAATACCTGACGTCAAGCACGAGGCAACAGTCACCTTCGTTGCCGCCGGCGCTGCGCCACCGGAGCACCTGCGGCCGAAGGCTCGCCTGCGGCGGGCGCAAAGACGCGGGAACCTGCTTCACCTCTCGTTTTTGAGCAATGGCGGTCATAAGCGGGAGCGGTGGACGCGCGTGTCTCGGCTGCTGAAGCGCAAGGTCAAGGTGCTCGAGGGGTCGGGCCTCAAGCCCGGCGTGGGCAACTACAGCGAGGAGGAGGATGCAGCGATCAAGCGGCGGAGGGCGGGAGGAGAGGCGTACAGCAGCATCGCACGCTCGCTGGGGCGAGGCGAGAACGCAGTCAAAAACCGAGGCCGGCAGCTGATGAATCCAAAGGTCGCGCCGATGGGCCAAGGGAAGGCTGGCGTGCCGCGGGACCTGAGCATCAACTGGGTGGACGAAGTCACCAGCGCGATGCAGCGGCTGCCCAACCAGCAGGGCACCGCTCACGATGTGATCGCCGTGCTGAAGGAGATGGGCCACGTGTTGGACGAGAGCCTTCTGCCGGGCGAAAGTAAAACCAGGGGCTTCTCGCATGTCAGCAACACCCTGGCCTATTCAAGGAACCCGCAGTTTGTAGCACTCAAGCACCCGGCTCGCTTGGGCCAGTCAGGCACGGTGGTCAAGGTGCCGAGAGGCGGACGCAGGGCGTATGTGCAGTTCGAGGACGGCGCAGTCGAGGCGTTCAGTGTTGGCAGCCTTGCACTGGCCGCCTCGCCTGCTGCGCGCCAGATCGCAGCTGGCGCCTCCGTGACAGTCACAAAGGAGGAAGGAGGCGTTGTGAAGGTGGAGGCGGGCCCGCGCAACAAGCCCTGCACCGTCTACGAGTACAGGCCGGAGCTGACCCCGGTCAAGGCCGTCAAGTCGCCGGCGAAGCCCAAGGGGCTTCGCAACGCCAAGGAGAGGAAGAAGGGCTACGACGGCGTAGCGCAGAAGAACGGATAAGCACGATGAACGTTCATATACTGTTAAGAATTCGTGTTTTCTTTTTGATCTAACCGCGCTTCAGGGCCTAGATGCACTAGAAATTTTCGATTTTCTTTTTCTCCAGAACCGCGCTCGAAACACCCGCGCTTCGCCGACAGAGAACAGGCCGTGAGTCAGTCAGACACTCTGGGAAACTCGGCCGGCGCGAAGCAAAAAAAAAGCAGAGGCTAGTGCCATTTCACTGTGGCACAGCTCGCGTTACAAAACTTTGATTTTGGTCATTTGCGCCATTTGGTACCTCTCGGTGCCTTCCAGAGGCAGCTATGACCCCGCCGAGTGGACGGGGGCACTCGGCAGGTGGCGCGGAGTGCCCCCGTCCACTTGGCGGGGTCGCAGCTGCCTCTGCGCGTCCTGGGGAGGTACCGAATTGTCGCCGCCGGAGACGACTCGACGCCGCTGAGATCGGAGATCAAGCTCTGACAGGTCGCACGTCGCTCCTTTGACGCCGACGTGACTCACCCGTGCAGATCACATCAGGACACGGTCTCGACGCGCTCGGTACGACGCCTGCGACCCGTCTCGGGTCAGGTGGCATGACGCTCATCTCGCCCGCCAGCGCTGCCGTGCAGGCTGCCACGACGAGGTCGAGCACGCTTCTATACGCTCGCCGAGCCTTCCTTTCCATCCCATTAGGCAGCCTGGGAACGGTGGCGGTCAGAGGCAAAGCCTACGAGGGGTGGTGGAACCACATGTCACGGCTACTGCCGGCTCGACCCCACGATAGCCTCCGGAGGCTGACTTTGAGGCACAACCATCGGACGATGTCGACGAGTTGGGTCGCTCTCGCGGTAGCCAGATGACCTATCATACTAGGAGCATCGGCCATGGCCGCAGGGAGCGCGGGGGAGGGCGCTGGAAGCAACACGGAGCTCCGTTGGAGGCGTTTTCAAGATTAGCGTGTCAGAGTGAAATGGCACTAGCCAGAATCAAAACGCGCGCCCCGGATACAGTCTCACGGGGAGGGAGCGCTCTGGAGAGAGCGCGCTCCGCGACCTTGCCGTGGGCGGGTAGAGCACGGCGAGGCTTTGGAACTGGAAGGGCAGCGCCTGGCACGTTTGGCGCATCCCTCTGCAGATCCGCTTTCCGTTCGACGCGACTTGCGGCCCCACGAGCATCAGCACGTGCAGCAAGAGGTCGGATGGAAGCTGAAGCATAGGGTGGTGCGCATTGTGATCGGCGGCGGTGGCAAACGGGGCCGCAGGCCCCCAGGGTCGAGAATCTGGGCGCGGCTTCTCCTGCTCCCGCCTCTCAATCGGCCGGATCTTCCTCTCCTTGAGCCGGGTCTTGAGGCCCTGCAAGAGGTTCAACACCGGACTGCGAATTGGCTGCGGGAGCAACCCCACCCAGTCGGGCTCGCCAAACGCGGCCACGACGCTCGCATGTCCGAGGGCTCGCGCATAGTCAATGGCTCGGAAGCCTCTGCAGCAGCAAGCGTGTGGATTTGCGCCAGCGCGCAGGAGCTGCGCAAGAAGGGGCTGGTTGGCAAATCGGGCCGCCCACATCAGGGGCGTTTGCCCGTGCCTGTTTCGTAAACCAATGTCTGCGCCCGCGAGAAGCAACATGTCGGCCACTGCTGCGCCGCCAGCGGCATATGCACAGCACATGAGCGCACTTGTCCCACAAGAGTCGACGGCATTGGGGTCCACGCGTTGGCTGCAGAGAAGCTGCACCGCCTAGAGGACAGATTTTGTTGAGTGAGATATTGTGTGGCTGGTGGTGGCAGTCCGTACGGCGCACGCGCCTCCAGCGGCCCCCCGTTGCTCGCGAGGCGGCGCAATTCAGCTTCGGCCTGCATGTTTGGTCGCGCCGTGGTCGCCGAGAACTTGGGGGGACAAGTAAAAGTCGCGTGACCGGTTTGACCAGCATCAAGCGTTTGTAGGTCCGTTGCCGCGACGGGCAGGCTCGGGCGGGACGCGGCAGGTGGCAGAGAGGGGCGGCGAGAAGGCGCGCGCAATGCCTCGTTGCGAGGACGTGCCCGCGTCGTTCCAAACCAAGTTGCAGCAGCAGGGTTATAAGCTCGCTGGCCAACTTGGCAGCGGCGAATTTGGCAAGGCCTTTGTCGTGAGGCCGCGCCCCTCTGGCTGACACCTAGCAGTCACCACCCTCGCCCCACAGCTCGCCCCAGTCGCCTGGTGCGTAGGCGTGGTGAGCTCGCGCTCGTGGCGAAAGTGCAGCCGTACTCGCACCTCTCCTCTTCTGAGGCGGTCGCGCTGCGGCGAGAGATTGCAAACATGGAGGTCCTGGGCCGCTACAACCACCCCCACCTCGTGCGCTTCCGGCAGGTAACTGTGGCGCGGCGGAAACTCGTTCCCGTCAGATGTCACGCTCACACCCATCATGCTCCGCAGTCCTTCCAGGATGGGATGCACCTCTTCATCATCATGGAGCACTGCGAACAGGGGGACCTCGCGCAGCTCATCGCGAGCCAGAGGCAGACCGGCGTGCAGTTCAGCGAGAGGGTTGTGCAGCGCTGGCTGTGCGAGCTCGTCTCCGCCCTCGACCTGCTGCATACCCTCAAGGTCCTTCACCGCGACATCAAGCCACAGAACATCTTCATCTCCCGAGGCGCGGCAAAGCTGGGCGACCTCGGCCTGTCGAAAGAGGTCGTCACCGGCGTCACCGGCGCTCAGCCGCACACGCAGTGCGGCTCGCCCCTCTACATCGCGCCCGAGGTTCACATGGGCCAGCCCTACTCCAAGAGCGTCGATATCTGGAGCTTGGGCGTGACCCTCTTTGAGATGATGATGCTCGGCCACGCCTTCAGCGGCCCCGACGTGCCAGAGATCCTGCGAAATATCGTGCATGCGAGGCACGCAGAGATTGTCGGGGAATGGTCCGACGATCTTACCCGTCTGCTGCTGTGGATGCTGGAAGAGCGAGCTGTGTGTCGACCCTCCACGGGCGACATCATCTCAGACGGCTACTTTCAGACGGCTTGCCAGAGCTCTACGTGGCAGGCGGAGGCGCTCAAACACCGGCCCTCGCGCGCGCTCCTCTCCAACTTTCCTGACGAGTCCATGCTTGATGACGTGTGGGGCGAAGCATGCATCGCACAGGACGAGTTTGCGCAAAAGGAGCTCGAGGAGTCACTGTACACCACTGCCATAGCCACCAAGCAGCATGCAAGACACTGCTGACGGGTTCTGACTTCTGTGAGTCCCATCACTCGCGAGAGAGAGCTCGCGGCTTTCGGCTTGATCTCAACCCGTCCCTCTCTCGAATCGCGCCAGTTTTTGGCTAGAGAGTAAAGTACAATGTACAAATACATTTTTTTCTCAAATGTGAAATGAAAATGTACAGAGCTCTCAGAGTACAGAGAGGACAGAGCTTGTTTTGTATCATAATTATGCAACTTTTGTCAACGCCACCAAAAACAAACACTCACATGCCGAACATGCTACCTGGTACGTGGTACAAGCGCAGCTGGGTGTTCTACAAATAGAGTTCCTACCCACTTAATGACCGGCTTGTGCTGTCGCGCGGGCCCATGCGCTGCGAGCCGCGCTACCGCCGCAGCAGCCCGTGGATCGCCAGGGCCAGCCGCCTAGTGCCCAGCCGCCGATGCGTCACCTGCGCCGACGCGGTGACCACGCACGCCACCACAACGAATATGAGCGCGTCGGTCCTAGCGTCTGTCGCAACGCAGGAGCGCAAACAGGCGAGCAGCTGAAGCCGGCGGCCGGCGACTAGCTGCCGGCAACCCGCACAAAAGGCCGAGGACACGCCGCACACTCTCCCGCGCAGCGAGAGCCAGCCGCCGCCGGCGTGGCTGGGCGGCGGCGCGGCGTGCCCGATCCGCTCGGTCGTGTACGCTGACCACCCCCCCGACCAGACCAACTTCCCAGAGTGCGGGCGGCGTGCCGTGCCGGCCGCGAGACCGCCAAAGGCGCGCCACGCGGCTGAGGCGGCAGCCGCCGCCTCAGCCTGCGGCGACTCAAACCCAGCCACGAGGAGGTAGCCCCGCCCCGCCCGGCAAACGCGCACGCTGGTAAGGCCGTCCAGCGCGAGCAGCGAGGCGACCGAGGCGGAGGCGGCGGCGAGGGCGGATCGCTCGGCCTCGGCAGTGAGGGAGCGGCCGCCCGCCGTGAGGAGCGTCTGCGTGTTGCGCGCTGAGGCGTGAGACACGCAGAGGGCGTGGCGACGGAGCTCGGAGGCGAGGAGGGGGAAGTGTCATCAGAGCAGGTGTGTGTGGGGGGTGGTGGAGAGGCGCTGGTAGGCTGAGGAAGACTGAGGGACCTCGCGCACGCTCGTCATCCATAGAGCATCGTCATCCATAGAACATCCATAGAACATCAAATGCTCGAGTCCAGATGTTCAACAGATATGAGTCGAATACGGTATGAACAGGATTGAGTGGCCGTGTGACGGTGAGAAGATACGCCCGCACCTCGACGCGGAGCCGCGCTGGCGCGCGCCGGCCGGGGTCTTCGCCGAAGCTCCTAGAGGGCACGGCGCCGGGTAAGCTGAGGAACAGTGACAGCGTCGCTGTGTTGTGCCCTGTGTGTGTGCAGCTGCCCTGGGGTGTGGAGGCGCACCACAAGATGGGACCCGAGCCGAGCACGTTGGGAGGAGCGGCAAACAGGTAGGAGAGCCGGTTCCAGGCTCGGCTGATGACCTTCTCCTTTTCGAGGTCGGCTGCGTCGGCAGCCACGTCAAACGCGATCAGCACCAATACCTCGGTCTCGCCCGAAAAGTAGACGTGCATCGCACCGTGCAACCAGAGCTGGATTTTATTCCTGAAGAGCTCAAGCTTCTCCAGCAGCGGCGCAGCGGCAGCGGGCTGGAGCTGAATCTGTATGGCACGTGCGTAGCCGTGGCCGTCGCAGAGGCCAGTGAGGAAAGTCGCTGGCCGGGTCTCGCGGTGCGGAGAGAGCGAATCGCCGTTCGCAGCAGCCAAGAGTCGCCTGCAGCCGGGGCAATGGAGCGGCGAGCCGAAGCGGCGCTCAAGCGCGCAGGCCTGACAGCCCTGCATTTGTCAGTGGGGTGTGGCGACGACGGCGGAGGCGAGGCGGCGGGGTCGGCAGCGGCGACGGCGGAGGAGGCCAGGAGGCCAGGGCGGCAGATGAGGTCGAATGGAGGGCGGCGATGTGTAAGACCAACCTGCTATCGGCGATTTTCTTTTTCTGTGGGGGGGGGGGGGTGAAAAGAGAGAGGGAGGGAGGGAGAGACGGAAGAGAGATAGAGAGAGCTTGGTCCGTGAAGGTGGATGTGAGAGAGCTTGAGCTCGGTGCGTGGCCGATCTTTTTCTGGGTGTTTCCCGTGCCCCTTGAGCCTTGTTGAGGATTTTGTTTGTTGTTCATTCTTGCACATGCGCTTGTGCATGTGCATGTGCACACAACAAACAAAATCCGCTCCTTCTTTCCCTTCTCGTGGCACCCCTCGCAACAAAATCTCTCTCTCGCTCTCCCCTCGCACGCATCGAGGGCATCGCCAGAAGCGCTCATGCGGACTGCGAAAATGCGCCCCCCGTGTGGTAGCTCGGCGGCGACGACCTTGCCCTGGGCTACCACACGGACGCGCTTGTCTACGAATTTTTCGAGGTAAAGCCTTTGCTTCTCGCTACTCACCTTCAGTCGAACCTCAATGCTCTCGTGTGCGGGGGGCAGCCTCACTCACCTTACAACCTCCTACTTACTTGCCGTCAATTGCGTCGTCGTGCCGGCGGCGCCGAATGCGTTGAGCCGCCGCGAGGGGGGACGCCGCCGCCCGCCGGCGGACCACACACACTTTATAGCCCCCCGGGGGGGGGGGGGGGGGGGAGTATGCAGTCTTTTTACGTTTCACCGCCAGCTTGCCCCCAAGAGGTGAGGGGGGGATCCCTTGGCCCGGCGGCTCCCTCTAGCTCTAACTACTTCCGCCGACCGAGGCACCGACCGAGCCCTCAGCGCCAACGAGCGAGGTACGAGCACTTGATTGATTGGAAGGTGAAGAACGGCGCTGCTGGTGCTTCATTCACAGCTGCGGTACTACCCTGCAAAAGTATTGTGGAGTAAAATGAACTCGGGGGCACGGGACGCGGCACAAACGGGGCACAAACGCCAGGCTACAAACACGGGGAGGCCAGTATTATGCTTTATGCATTATGGAGAACTCAGATCAGTGACAGACTTGCCAACAACAAACCTAAAGCAACAACGACCCCTGGAATTGCGACTCGCCGCTTTCCTCCCGCTGTGATCCTGTGTGAGCTCTGTGTCTTGGTTTCAGCTTACCCGGTCGCTAAAATTTCTCAGGGCAGATTACCCGGTCGGCCAAATTTCTCGTCGAGATCACCCGGCGGCTAACATACCTTTCTCTTTCAGATTACCCGCTCGGGCAAAATTTCTCGTTTCAGCTTACCCGGACACGGACGGCTGCCTAGCTAGGCGCAAAGGCCGGACTCAGCGTGAACCTCGTCCGGACAGAGAGCGAGCACCTGCGTGTCCTAAGGAGAGCTCCCAGTCGCGACTCGGAATCCCCGGCCTCGCGTTTGCTTGAATGACGCAGTCGTGAATCCGTACAACTCTTTCAGATTACCCGGCGCATCCCACTACCGGGTGATCTGGAAAAAGAAATTTCGCTCCCCGGGTAACTGGAAACGACATTTCGCCGTGATCTGCGAGGCAAAAGGTCGCAGACGCCGGGTGATCTGAAAAACGCTGGGTGATCTGCGAGGCGCATCTCAAAAAGGACAAAAACCGGGTAATCTGAATGAAACCAAAAAAAAGCAAAGTGACACAGACACATGGCGAGGTACTCCCACGCCTCTCGGGGTTTTGTCTGGCCGAGTCAACCCTGCTGGGGCGAGCCTCGGCGAGACTGCGTCAGCTGTATGTTGGTTCCCACAGCAGGCTGCAAGTAGACAGACACCCAGGTAGGTAGGTAGTAAGGTGAAGAACAGCCAGGCTCGGACTGGACACCAACGCGGTATGGGTGGACGCTAGACAGATGATGACGACACGCACGAGCGACACACAGACACAAACAAGCTCACAAGACACACAGCCAGCTGGCTGCCACACACCCTGAGTCGGCGTACACATAACTCAGGGCCACATCCTCCCTGTCGCCCCCCCCAGCACTCCACGGTGCCAAGGGCACAAACAAGGGCACAACTCAAACAACTCAAACAACAGACGACAGGAAGTGATATGTGAGGCTAGAGCAGTTTGCTCCACCTCTAGCAATCTCACCGGCCTGCGAGGCACGGACGAGACCGTATGTGGGGTCTAGTGAGGTGTCTATGGACGCGCTCCTCATGGGCTAGCTGCCTACTGCTAGCCCTTCTCGCACTCACAGGCGATGACAGTCCAATGTATGAGCGTATGCAAGTTGAGCGCGTGGGCTAAATCTAGGCCGCACGTCGTGGCACTATGACGAAGTAGACGTGCGGCCGCAGCGCGCCCGCCGCAGGCTCGGCTGTGCGCGCGTGTTAGCGACAAAGTTGCGGGTGGAGCCATGCCCGACTTTTCGAAGGTGAGGCCTCTGCGACGAGTGCCAGCCGCGCTGCGGAGCCACGCCCTTCGAGCCGCGTCCCGTCAGCACTGTCCCCGAGTGGTCCCGCCTCAGCGGCACACACTCTCGACCAGGACAGTCCCGCCAACGGAAACGTGTCGCGCGCCGGCGACGATTGCGGCGTGGTCGTTGTGAAGCGGAGATGGCACGACCACCGCCCTGCTTCGCAGACCGGGCAAGGAGGGGCCCGCTCCCGTTCCGCGAGGAACAGGAGGTTTCCCCCCCTCCCCCGGCCTGAGCAGCGGCGGGTGGAAGGCAGCCCCTTGAGTCGAGGGCGGCGCTACCATTGCGCCGACTCAAAGACCAGCTAGCTGGTCCGTTCAGTACAGATGGTCTCGCCGCCCCGCTCCGCGCCGCCCGCCGATGCGCCGCGCCGCCGCCTCGCGCAGCCGCCGCGCCGCGCCCCGCCCGATGATTAATAATTAAGATTACCCGGAATACGGTACGCAATTAAGGAATTAATGAGTGAATTAATCAATTAAGTGAGCGCCCTCGCGTCACCTATGACTCGACCAGTGTGAAGGTGAAGAGATGTCACCGAGCATGCGTGCAGCTGGCCCGGGGTGGGGAGAGAGAGAGAGAGAGAGAGAGAGAGAGAGAGAGAGAGAGAGAGAGAGAGAGAGGGGGAGGGAGAGAGAGAGAGAGAGAGAGAGAGAGAGAGAGAGAGAGACAGAGAGAGAGAGAGAGAGAGAGAGATAGGTAGATGGAGGGAGACCACGTGCAACCTCCCATCGATAAAGACACTCCCACGCCATCCCCATAAAGAGATCCTGTACATATGACTATCTCACACTTCCTTTATATACATCTATAACTCA